TCATGGGGGAGTCGTCACCTGCGCATGCGTCAGATGTCGTTGTTTACATACAAGCGTCTACCCATAAGCCTTTGCATGTTTAGCATGTGTTGTTATCATTGCTTGGGACTCAATTCCCGCGCGTGCGCAGGTGACGACCCTCCCACTTTAAACCATGGCTATTGGAGTTTTAGCCACCTGGTGTTAAGGATGGACAAGAATGAAAGTGGTGGTGGGGAAGGATATTGCACTGGGTAGAAGTAAAATACAACACTGAAATATTATACAGTAAAAAGAGTAAACAAACAAATAAATACGTTTACATTATAAGAAAGACAATGAATCAATGTCACGTGAGCAAATAAATGGCCAACAAGGCGGCTGTATCCATGATGCGTGTTACCGTTCCTCGCACCCTTCAAATAGCGCCCTCATATGCACACACGTTGTCACGTGTACGATGGAATAGCAACGCCCTGATTTCCATAGTTACTCAATTGTAGTACAAATATCTTACAATTCAGACCCTGGGGTCACGAATAAAAAAAAAAAAAACATTTGAAGAACAAAGTACGCATACACAACGCTAGAAATAATCTTATTTACAAGCAGATCACGTTGTATCAGCAAAAAAAAAATTTACAACAATTAGTAATCAATCAAACTACTACATACACCGAATGTTGACAATTTCTACTCGTGTATACATGTCTCGGTCAAAACTGACCGAACAGAGCGGTTGTAATTACATCATTTTGCTAAAGTTTCACCTAAAAAGGTCGTTACAAACTTGAAGACTGTCAGTGCCTAGATATGATAGATGTGGCCACAGTCCCAGAGAGACTTTGATGTAGCTAACAAACATTTAATTCTCTTGTCTTTTATTCATTACTCAGATCAACAAACAAACAAACACGATAGGAACAGCACACGACCGGTTGCCGCCCAAACCTAAGGCTAATATAGAACAGACTAGCAACGCGGCTTTTCCCATTGGTCAGATAAGTGCCACGTTTGTTTTGGGCTGAACTTTTCAATCCAATAAACAACCGATCGAACTAACGCGCCTATGAAGTAATAACGCGAGAGAGTGTGAGACGTTCACAGGCAGTAATATTAGTTGGGTCGTGGTTAATTTTCTTTTTTCTTTGCTTATATAATCTCCAAAATAATGCGACAAAACATATGTAAGTTATTTCTATGTTTATCCTCCATGTTTCTGTAATAATACAACAAACAATAAAGATCATTAACTCTGAGGACAAATTAGTGTCAATTACGCCACCTACGGCCGTAATCCCAAATTCAGACCAAAAACAATATACCACTTTCCCGGAAGTAGCAAAACTGGGGTGCAAAAATACTCCTGCTTTGTCATGGAGAAAAATACAAACATGTCAGATTGTTGATAGTCGATAGAAGGGAATTTCATTTTTGTTACGTCGATTGGCACACCCAGAAACACAGTATCACGAGTGCAACTTTACGTTACACCCCAAAACGACATGCGCGCGCATGCGAAACGCCGTATCTTCGACTTCTGGGAAAGTGGTCTATAGGCGTTGCTAGTCTGTTCTATATTAGTCTGAGCCCAAACCCTAAGACCACGTCACGGGTTTTGGTGGTCGAGGCAGAACGTACGCTGAGTGCACAGGCGACTGAGAGATCGATCTTTCCTGGTGCGAGGAAATAATATATAATACACGCCAAGGTATATAGAGGTAAATACGTATGTTGAAATGAAGCAAACTTATACTGCGTGCGTGAATGAAACAAGCTTTAAAGGGCGGCAGTCGTCGCGCCGCGTCCTGTTCGATATGAGACTCATAGCGACGTATACAACACGTGTAAAATACATTGTTTATTTACATGAAATTCGAACACGCGCTGCGCGACGACCACCGCGCTTTAAAGTTTACGTCACGGCACGTCTTCCCCTCTGCCATCCTAAATCAGGATGCTTGATAACCGAGCCTGTTGTTTCCTTTATGTCACCGTGTTGAGGGACGGTGCTTATGTGAAACGTGTCCAAAAACGATAATTAAAAAAAATGAATAAATATCAAAACAAATTGAACGCGATGACATTATCACGTGAATTGCGCCCTCAATCGATCGTCACTGATTATCAGTTGAGGGCGCTAGTCAAACTGCATGCTAAACCGTATGATCATCACATTTTTTTCAGGTTAAGCGATAAAGCATTGGGATAATATATCTTATGACGCAATGTTTGAAAAATCAACGTACACATTTCTGTATATCAAATCATGTAGTATTTTATACTTTTGTATACGTTTTGCATATCTTATGTTAGGTTGGTTTATTGATGGAGGTAAGCCTTTTTTTACCTCTATGGTTTATTTTACCGAAACGTGATCATATCATGATTAGATGTCATGTATTATATATAAAATTACGTAATATATGTAAAATTACGATTTTTGATTCGACGAGACCGTCTAGCAGACAAAGGTGAAGATAACGATATGTTTGCATGTTTAAAAGATAGCATAAAAGTTGTGTCAACGCGACTGAAAAATTGCAACACAGGGTTTAACCCAAACAGTGAGTATTTAGTCAGAATCGTATGAAACGATGTACTGAGTATTGTGCGATCAGCACCCCCGTTACCGTTTTACGGCACCTAAGGGAGGGTCGTAATTATATTAACTTGTGAATAATAAAAAATGTTAAATAAATAGTTCTAGATTTAATATTTATAAAATTCTCCGAGAGAACAGCATTCAATTTCCAGTATATAATATAATTATATTAAGAAATTGCGTCAACGTTGTATATCCAATCAATTAAGTTCATCTTTAACAACGTGACATCATACACCACCTGAAGTGACTTTCCTCCATGATTCAATGTACTGTTATCCCATCATAACGTAGTCGATTAGTGATGCGGGAAGACTGCGACAGCTGACATTAACCTGATTGACCCGTACATCGTAAGATTTTCGGATGGCTAGGCGACACAAGTGTTTCAGGCTTCGTGGCTCGGGAGTTTCTGCAAGAAACAAAACACTATAGTTTTAAAAAATCCTGTTTAAATAAATGCCCTGACTAACTGCTCTGAAAAACGGTGAACGTCACGACGCGTCGTGTTTGATATGGTCCCATGCAACGTGTACCACTCGTGTAAGATACTATTATTTGTTTGCTTACACCACGGTTACTAGAAGCATGGAACTTATAGTTCCATGCTACAAGCCGTCCTTACATGAGCCTCGAACATGCTCTACAACACGACAATCACCTTTTAAAGGTTGGAGTTCAAACAAATGTTTAAAATATGGTCACGCAACAAAATAAGTTGCCGAAAATATTAAGCATAAATGCACAAAGCTTGGTGTTTTAGACCCACCGTGGCTAATGGTTTCACGCATGACCCCCCCCCCCCACACACACACACAGCCTGACGTCATGCGTTCTGGTATTTTCTGTTGGGCAAATTCATTATCAATGAAATAACATCACTAAAGTTTACAATTATGAACATTGAGGTATAATGTTAATAATTATCAGTATTATACGGCAATGCCGCGCGAGCACCAACACGAAGTGGCAATGTGTCATACAAACCGTGACGGCGATACAAAAAACAATACTGGCAGATATACTATATAGAAAATGGTAGTAAGTAAACATAGTCTTTGGTAATTGTTTAATATATTTAGACGTATACAACCAGACCCACCACAATTTATTAGATTTATCGGTTCTAGTGGCGTTTTATTGTCGTGTATATTAATACGACGTATATTGTCCGTCTCCAGGGTACTGGGCAAGTGTCACATCATTCGTGTTGCAAATATTATATTCCATGCACTCTTTTTTGCTATAAAAGGAATTTCTTTGACGTCTGACGTGACAAACAAGTTGCCTTATACTGCCTTTGAATGAGCACATGGCCGAGTATCAAATGTCTTTGCAAATAAACTACCGTCTGCGATTCCCTAATCCTTAAAGATATCGACAATTATGGTGCACATGGAGAACAAGCTGCACATGCGCAGTATGCACAGATGCTGTCGCGACGACACACAGATCAATATGAATTATTAAAATTGTAATTTAATCACACAATCAGGCTTGCGGTGACAAGGATTGGGTTTTACAGCCGGCAATGACTTGGGTTCTGTCGGAAAATAACATATAAGTATATTTGAATATTACGTTAAATAAAAAGTCGTGATTTAAGGCTGACCGCTGTCGACAGTTTGACACGGCACTGAATTAAACACTACTGGAACGTATAATAATTAGAAAATTTACATCATCATTCAAACAGTTTATTTAATATTGAAACGTACACGATGTTCTAAGTAAACACTCGTGTGGAAGTGACACGTGCCAGTCATGGTCCCGTACGTTCAAGACATGGTCGTAGTAAAAAAAAATTGACGATTTCGAAATTGTATTGTGTGTATTTGTTAGCGATTTTTAGTATTGCTACTGTATCATAGGCAGTTATCAACCGCGTTGTTTCACAGTGTGGGGGAAATACGCTGTAATTTCATGCCCGCTTCACTGATCGCGGCGTCTATCTGTGATTGATCTGAGGGCATTTAGGGTCAGTTTCATAGGAGCTGCCACATTAAACCTTCCAAACAAACAGCGCGTCGGGAAATGTTGTCACTGATATTTTTGACATTAACTCGGTCAAAGTCGAGTCAGGCTGACAAACAAATTGGCAGTGATTACACCAACTTGGCAGTGAATGGCAGCAGCCGCCACCTATATAAACATCACGATGAGCAAACTCCCCGTGACACGCGGTCGGCGTTAAAACGAACGGTTACTAAAACCATAACACGAACCTGAAGAGATTTATTTCACTCGATTAATTTAACATTACGGCCTTACAGCATAAATACGACTTGCATTTGAAGAGAGTACATTTACCAAGTACCAAGATGGGTACGTTTTTAATGGCCTTAGCCAGGCTTAGAAAGGCGATAACAGCTGACGACTGCACAGCGGCGTGGCGTCGGTTTTAACTGTTGTCTTGATGGGGATACCGAATTACAAAACAACAGATGGAGAAATGAACATGTCATACAGGCACGCGCTGTAGACTGAGTTTACACGATGACACACTCCAGAACGCCTAGCAGGATTGTGGAATAAAACAACATCTGTAAGTGGACTGCCGCGCAGAAATAACCGAAATCTTGAATACAAAAAATGTTGCCGCCATATATCTGACGAGAATAAATATTAATAAAAAATATTAACAGTTGCTGCATATTATGTTAAATAAATCAGACGTATTCGTCACCGCAGCTTTCTGTTATTAAACAGCTTAAGAGACGACAAGAAATTCTCCGCATACTTTAAGAAATCCGCGTCATTTTCCTAATAGGGGCCAGGCGTCACAGTAAGACGAGGAATAAATCAAATTTTATACGCAAAAGAAAAACAAAATACAATCGATTCAGATTCTGTTGGGCAATAAAATACTGCATTAAGCATCGAGAGTACACGATAAATTGATATGTTAAATCATTATAACATATCTGTATATTTATGCCCTCATTTGCATAATTTATGCATGATTACATAGTCACTCCTCTCCAAAAAAACTGCACCAGTACTTACCAGCATAATCAGATATAAATTGTGACACCCGAGGTTTTGATATTGCCAAATCTACAACTGTTTGATTTCTATTGTTGCGATTGTAAATGTTGCTTCCTTTTACTAACAACTCCAGAGCCTGAAAAAAAAAACAGTTGCATTTATTTATTTAAATCTTATGCAGAAGACAGAGCGTGTCGGCTCAAAGTTCTCTATATGCCACAAGAGTAAATACACTTAAAGCGGAAGGGTCGTCACCTGCGCACGCGCGGGAATTGAGTCCCAAGCGATGATAACAACACACGCTAAGAACGCAAAGACTCATGGGTAGACGCTTGTTTGTAAACAATGACACGCTATGGCCACCTGACGCATGCGTAGGTGACGACTCCCCCGCTTTAATAATCCTTTCATTGATTTGGTATTTCCTTTGAAAGTTTTATGAAAGTAGTGTTATTCCACTGCTCAACCATCGAATTATAGATGCATACTGACTATATTGTTATTCTATTGCTTCAAGTTATGTTTGAGTCGTCTTCTAAATGTTATAATATACGGTCAACATGAATTGCACCTACAATAAGGCACACAGTAATAAAATGTAGTCAATCTCAACAGACGAATGTAGTAGTAAGTGATGTTGGAATATTTTGAATAATTGTCAGATTTGGTTTGGATACACAAAGTCGCTAATACCGAAGCTTCATTACTTTCCAGGCACAACTTTCGAACAAAAAGTATTGTTGGTCACACCAGTTTAAGCGAGAGGGTCGTCACCTGCGCACGCGCGGGAATTGAGTTCCGAGCGACGATAACAACACACGCTAAAATCGCAACAGCTCATGGGTAGACGCTTGTTTGTAAACAAGTTTACGACTCCCCCGCTTTAACAACATTTCGTTATACGTACTTGTAAATTGTCACTATCGGCAGCTATATGCGCCGGAGTATTCCCCCAATTATCCCTTAATGTTAGATCGCCTCCATATTCCACGAAGACTTGTACCGTGTTTACATAACCGCCTTCTGCAGCGTCGTGTATTGGCGCTCTACCGGTCGAATCTGCGACGTTCGGGTCAGCCCCGCGCCGTAATAACATCCGGGCAATTTCCGGATGCGCGAAATTCATCGCCTGCAAGACAGAGAACAATACATTATCATTACGTCAATTAATGTGATTATATATAAATATATATGACGATTATTGCCCTTTCGACTAGACACCGGATACATTCATCTCGCGAACTCTATCTACCACCCCTAAAACACGATAACACAGGCTGTTTAGATAAAATATGTTACAATATTGAATAAATGTTACACCATCAATCAGTAAAAGCGGAGATATGGGGGAGATTGATAGGAGAGACCTTTATAACATCACGTCTCGGTCTTGGGGCACCCACAGCTACCACAGCTGTGTGCGGGTTGTAAGGCAACGTCGATGTGTGTACAAACAGCGCTGCACGAGGTGTCGATAGCATCCCATGTTACGTGTATTCCCTGGCCAATATTTAATACGATATACGAGTATATATTCCCAAATTGACCCGGGATGATCTTCGTTACGTCCTTAAGAAGGACGTCTGTACGTAACACCTCGAATAGAGGCTCCAGACGGCGATGACAACTTGCTAGTATTTTTATAGTCCCTCTAAAACGCTGAATATATAAAAGTGGAAATGAGAAATAACTGAAACGTTTGTTGGATGCTGGTACTCGTTACAGCCAGCCAGAGTAGCATTGCGTCACCTTTGTTACCCAGCCTGCCCTCTATTACGTAATGTGATACCATTATGCTGGCCACACGAGTCATACCATCGATGGTAATAATTTGAAAACTGCTAACGATCCAGGCTATGAAACACTCACCATAACTGTGCTTCATTGTAAATTCCGTCAGTTGAAGAGGTGACCGATCTACCAACCATAACCAATTTTTAATGTGATAATATCGTATCCCCCAGAACAGAGTTGAAATCAGTCTGCCATGATGCATATAATACGCGACAGTACGCATTACAATGTATTTCCAAAGATTTATACAATGTTTCCAATAAGTAGGTTATGACCGAATTAAAAATTTAATTTATTTTTCCATTTTGAGCATTCTGGATACATGCCAATTCAAAAGGCACAACAAACGAAAAAATCGGGATTGCCCATCTCCCGCTCACATGGTTTCATAGCTTGAGACAGAAATCATGGAACATTTTTTTATACTGGATGGCTGCAGATTTAATAGCATAGTAATCTGCAGCTGCAGAATCAGGCGGCCAATGACCTATGATGATCTTCTGAGGGCTATCCTCCTATGAGTGTCCAACTTGTTTTTGAATTCATTTACAGTTTTTGCAGTAACAACAGCCTCTGGCAATTCATTCCATACGTATATCACTCTGATCTTTGACAAAAAAAGTTCTTTCTCAATTCCAATCTAGTGTGCCCCTTATTAACATTATACCTTGAAAATTCAGGTTGAGATTACCGGGCAATTTTTCGAGATTACGAAATCTGCAAATGTTCACCTTTGCCCTTGCATCGGTCTCAGTGGTAAACAATATTACTTTATACCACAAGTAATATTTGATATTGTAACGAATTTTAAAACAAAATTCAGCAAAAATGTCTAAATAAAATATAAATATAAAGTATTTATAATAATATCTGAGTTTATGTATATTCAATAGTAATTTTATTCAGTTATGTATTGTACACATACTCGTGCAACGTTACGGAATTCGGATTGCACTTCTTTAATTATAACCATATATATATATACACTAATCAAAGTCTAATAATATCATGCTATCACGTATAACATACCCATGTTCCGTCGCACTATTAATTCCACTGTGGATAAAATAGTTGAACGGGAGGAATGCAGGATGGCGCGGGAAATTTCCCCGCCATAGACCGGTGCATTCCGATTTTATCGTATAATATATATGTATAAAGGAAAAATAAATTATATAACATATAAAGAAAATATTTTGTTTTGTTTTTCCCACAGAAATTGTTCTATTTTTTTGTAGATTAGACACTTGCAGCCTGAGTAGGAATCATAGGGATTAGCTTGGAAACAAGATGTGTTGCACGCGTTAAAGTAAAATATAGACTCGGCAATATAGAACCAATGCTCATGTTATATTATTTGATACTGGAGACGCCAGAACCTGATAGGAATATGGCATATTGGCTGTAAACGATTTAAAATACCATACTAGTACATAATACATTACATTGGACGATTTGGGAATTGGCGAGCGTTACGGACACGTTCGTTGTGTACACAAACAAAATCAACTCTTCGCGTTTCGGAGCCGCACTTATTACGGGATGGTAACATTTAAAATTATTTCACAAACCTGTAACGCAGTCCTGCCAAAAATATTTCGTCTGTGTACGTCACTTCCTAGTTCCAACAACCGTCGAACTTGATCCTCCAGCCCCTTGGCAGCTGCCTCGATGAGCGTTAGTTCACTTTCTTCTTGTACATCGTTGGCCATTACTGTAATAAGACAAACATCTTTAAACTCGCGGATCTTTCCAGCAACCATGGTCTTAATTTATAGCACGGTGAACTCGGCGTCGAATCCGTTATTAAAACCCTAGTATTCACGTTCTCGCTACTACCAGATAAAGAAATCTATTCATGCTTTCAGATCAAATGTCCATCGACTTGAGAGCACACGAGCAACGAACTAGCGGTATTTTACAAGATCAATTTTCAGCCTGACAACTCTAGGAGATTTGTTTTATATTTAGTATCGATGTCGCTATAAATACGAGTCACGTGTCATGCCCAAGGGTCAAAGTGCTACCGCATTACGCGTAATTAAAATGGTAAGTCGCGCGTGCGTATTACGTTCGTCGATGCATCTGTAAAGTTAGTCGGGAGGGGGCGTATATGTGGATGCAGTATAATTCTTACAATAACCTAGAAAAACATAACATAAAAAACATAAAAATAACGGCCAATAACTGATTAAAATCAAATACATGCTACCAAATACATGCTACCAAACCCCGAAAGTGATTTAATTAAATTCACAAATAAAGTGATCATCGTGTTCACCGGCACTGTTCTAGGGAGGGACTATTAACAACTCGGGGGATGTTTCTGGATGAAATTGCTGTATAACCTCTCTATCTGGATTCATATGTATTATTACATTAGAATGTTATAAAACAAACGTGACTTTTTAATGCAAGAGTTTAAAATCCAAGCACGTGTAGTCCGTGAGGAACGTAAATGTTTAAACTTCGCCAGGACCAGTTTTCTTATCGTAGCTTGTATAATGCTAGATCGTAAATACAATTCTCCTTAATTATTAATTAAGTTTTAATGAGTTGCTTTCACTTTTGTTAACATAGTACGATTCGAGCGTAGTTATGTGGCTCTTGTCTCTGTAGTTAGCTGTACTTTTATTATAATCGTCTATCCTAAATTTTTAGTAAATGAGGTTCTGTATTTTTAATTGATTTTATAATATTACGTAGACATTTTGAGTAATATAAACAATTAATGTTACTATTATTACTCCTTCTATGCCGCCAGCTGAATATCCCAGTTCATATAATGCTATGTACAACTTACAGAAGCTTTGTATCAATTCAGTAGCGTTTCCGAGTCCATGACAAAATATAAATCTTGTGCGAGGATTTCAGCAACAATTACGAAATAAAAGTTCATTCTGTTTGCCGTGAAACTTGAATGTGCGCGAGTTTGGGACCCGAAATCACCTGTATACTATAGTTAGGAAGTCGTATGTCCGGCAATGCTCGCACCCTTATTGTGTGTACTTAAAGTGTACACTTTAATAACATGGAAAATTTACTTCCAGGTTGAATTCAGGTACCAGTCGCCGTTTTTTTTCCAAATGAGACGATCTACATATTGTTTGAAGTCGGATGCATTTTTTATTTTTGAACGACTGTCACATTTGTCACATCTGTCACATGTTGCTGTTCAGAGCAAACAAAGTATAAACCAGTGGGAGTGGGTCTAGAGCCCCGAACCCGATCGCCGGAACGGGGAGAGAACTACATCATCCGCAGCGAAGAAAGCGAATAAAACCAACACCATTCCTATCACATCATTTTACACATTGTCACACATTTGGATTTATATTACAAAGTATGTACGGAATTGAAAACATGGAAAACTGAACCCAGTTATCGCAAAACGTGCAAATCGTATTTAGGCAATGGGAATGATTTCATAAAAACAATTGTCCCTAGACGGATACTTTTCATTAGCGCCGGAATTATTTTCAGATATTGATATGACCCATATGTTTTGTTTTATTACGTGTACACCAAAGGGAGTATTAGAAGCCATGCGATTTTAGCAACATGCATTGGTAAATCTATGTTCAAGATTTAGTTTGAAACGATGACTGTGTTCGGTTGTGTAATTCTTCGCTATCTAGAATATAGTATACTTAGTCTAGTATCTTTCAAAAACATTATTTATTTTTGTTGTTGTTGTTATAAGCGAATTATTTTAGATCCAAACACCATCGACACTGTGAACGATATTTCGCTAACCCGCTGACGTCACAAACACGCGGCGTTTCATCGCCAGATGGCACGATATATAAGAGCGATGCATAAATTATATTTGAAACAGGCCTGGGAAAAAAACTCACAAACGATTCTAATATCGGCTCAGAAGACCAAAAAAAAAATCGTTAATCCGAGTAATGATTGATTAAGGTGGGCTTACTCGACTTACTGTGACATTTACATACATACACTGTCGTTTTCTTACAGTATGTTACAGTTGTTTCGGAAGTTACATGTGCATTATAGGCCTCACAGGGAAGTAAAACGTTTTGCAGACGGTGATGAAAACAGTTTTAAAATATCAATGAGTCGTGTAACGCAAATTAAACAAACACAACCATTATCATCATAACATTAAAAAACAAAAGCTTCGATTTGCACAACTTTTTCATATATTTTTTTAATCTACGTAATTCTGAGCTAAACCTATCTCTGTGACACCAAATGAGTGAACGCGTGGGGATATGTCACGTGACATCGCGTATATATACTAGTATGATAATAACATGTAATAAGCTGGAAAATACAATTATGATCGACTACAAATCAAACGTTCTAGCTGTCTAGGTGCTGTGTTGTAGTATATCATGTGGTAATTTAATGCAACAAGGGTTATTATTATGTTGATTGAAAAATACGACAAAATGAAAAGAACAAAGTTTATATCCATACGATAAAACTGAACCAATCAGTGTCCGTATTAGCAAAGATGTGTTAGTGCGTCATTTGAAAACACCGACTGGTTTGCACTTTTGTGGTCCGGTTTAGTTAGACTAAAATATGAAATAATATTTAATAAACTGCTGAAAATAAGCATAATGTCATTTGCAAACAATCGCTATTTAAAATGGAAACAATATCTCCTGAATGCACTTTCTAATCATAGTGTGTAACCTATAACCATATTTTCCCGAGCCTTGACTGATTTCTGCCGTTGGTGGCTTGGTTGAGCGTCCAAAATAAGATTGAGTGCGTTCAGTGCCTAATTTCGTGCCCAATACTTATATAAATGTCAGCGTTACGGCGTTAAGACGAAACATTACGTAATTATAGTCTGTTACCTGTTCGACTACCAATATCGTACTTTCTAAATTGTAGCACAGTCGCCATGGTGGTTGGCAAAATATAACAACTCCACTTGAATGTTTGCTGGACTTCAGACACCCAGACACGTCAACAAAACAAAAGATTCTCTTGTTCTATGCGTGTTGCTTGGCGACGTTTGTAACCATGCATCGCGGCTACGTTTGCGTTCTATTCTAAGGTTGTCACACTGCACATGTTGCAGGTGGAAGGCGTTAGAATTCGCGACACTTCATTTAGTAACACGGCGGTGGAGTTTATGTATTCGGCCTTAAAGGGGAACTTGCCAAACCCAGGGATTGCACCAAGGAATCATGAGACACTATTGTTTATGTTGTTTACAATGTTAATCTATCTTTTGTTATCCATTGTAATCCAGAAAGCAATTTTGTTGTGAGATTAGGCTAAAATGGAGATGCTACCAACAATGGTCTCGGCGAAGCCAACTCTAGTTTGAGTGACATCAAGGACTATAGACTGCTACTAGTATATTCAGGTTGTCTGTGTTTTTATCTTGGTTAAACTTTAGCCGTTATCGCAAAATGGCGACCTTAGTAATTGCAAAGATATGGTTTTCATCCATAACATAATCCCATAACATAATTCTATTTCCAGTCAATTTCAATATATATATTTTCAAGACCACTGGAGCTTTCGAATTTTGAATATAAAATATATTAAAGTCATAAAAAATAACCGGAAATAACCGAATACCAGAAAACGGCATAACCACAACGCGATGACATCGATGATTGTCGAAACAAGATCGGTACAAAGTCCATATTGACACTTCTTCAGAGTATATATGAACAAACTATAGTAATTGTTATTTGCCAATCGTAAACTTACCCGAAAAGCAAGGCGATGTAATTTGGCCAATATGTCGCTGTATTCGGTCGTACAAATATTGTGTCGCCAACCCCTGGTAGCGGCAGAAGAATCTTACCACGCTGAAATTGACCTGGTTATTCCACCATGACTGGGATGACGATACCAATTCGGGCATTTAGATCTCTAAGAAATATAATTAGACATATTATTCAGGATATGTCACGTGTAGGGCTAATTATTAATGTTTTGCATTTGACAGTGATCTTTGACGTACTTGATCTATGACCAAAAATAAGGAAAGGAAAAAAAAAGAGAGAAAAAAAGGGAGATGTCGGCGGCAATTAAAGTAGCGCTATACCCGGCACCGGTATAATATAAGATCGGCGTCGCAGTTAAACAATAAATCTAATATCGACCGATTTGCTAACTGCACGTAACACGTTACAGCCAAGGAAAAAATAAGTGAAACACGCCAGCCGAATCGGGAGTAATGAATAACCAGCCGAATAGAATTTGATGTAGTCGTAACATAACGTCCAGGTTATTTATACCACCGCACCTTTTAAATCCAGTCGCTTAGTAACCAATCCAACATGTCCGGGCATTGCATTGTGGGATTACATAACATGGCGGTAGTTCAGTCGATACCGGGCAGTTGACGCCTAGTTGTGTTCATATTTCGGTTCTGTCAGTTTTAATTTTTTTTTCAAATTTCAAATTACACTCATATTACGTACCATATGTGTTACATGAGTGTCGAGGAGGTGGGCTGGGCGTGAGCCTCCGGCATTCAAATCATCGAGCCCGTTTCTGAACTTTATCATCATGTATTTACGAACAGTAATGTAATTTATTCATTCTGAGTTCAAACACACGTACACCACACACTAACTGTCTTGTTTGTGCGAATTATGTATACTGCGTACGAGACACAATAGCCATTCTTGTAGAAACCAAAGTTAAATTATGCAAAGCTCCCATGTGCATACAAAATATATACAATCACTGTTGTTTCATAAAAACATATCAAAGAAATGAAATTTCCCAAACATCCGTGAAAGAGCAATGGCATTTCAACCTCATATAGGTTGAAATCATCAGCCAGAAGATGTTCAGCATCAATATATAACAAATTTGATCTGAAGTTTTTGAGATTTGGCTAACAAAAGCTATAATGAGACAATATGCAAATGAGCTACTTA